GTGACCAGTGGTTGAAAGCGTTCCGGCTCGAATAGACGTCTTGTATAACGGGCAAGAGTAATTCGAGCGATTCTCCTTAAGGTCAGCCGATAGAACAGGGCGTAAGGAGATGACTGGTAGAGGGATGAAGAGAACGGCCGGAGCGGATTCTTGAAGGCAGGTACCTTCGAGGTCCCATCCAGCGCCCTGAGAAGTTATTCTGATGTCAAGAAATGCTCCAACTCGGCATCACCTGGAGGAATACTCCATGGATATTAACTCCGGTCTCAGGCGGTCCGGGCAGCTCATCCGGGCTAGAATAAGTCTGAACGTTGGTCTCAAACGTTAGAGAATCAATTGGAATTCTGTGAGCTCTAGCATGCATCTGATACAGAGTCGCATCAGGGAGGAGGTTCGAACCGTCGAAGAGACTTCCATCATAAGGACCGGCAGGTCGACCTGAACTTACTTGCATGCCCGCTGTCATGAAGCCTTGAGGAAAAAAGAAGGCAGGTAGCCAAAAGCTAGCCGGAGGACCATAATGTGCCCAGCTATACATGAATTCCACTCTTCTAATGAAGTCGCTGACCCAGAAGTTTAGAGGCATCAAACAAGGATACGCTGCTGCAGACCACTTTGCTGGTGCCTTCTGTATGAGAAAGCTGTTAAACCTGGTGGGCAGAGAAAAGCGTCGATCCAGCTATAGATCCTACAACGAGGTTACATTTCTTCCAGGTCGGATGACATCACAATAAGACCTTTGATGGCTTTAGCAAGAGCGGCCAAACTCGTCTTAACGACGCCCACCAAGAGGTTAAACCTAACAATTCATGGTCTACAGTGGTCAAGGCTGTATAAGAGAGCGACCTGTGAATCTCTTGAGCTAAAAAAACACCCAAGGAGATGATCCCTCCAGACGGCTCCTTAGCAAAGCTAAGTCTGTGACCGTCAGTCATTGATATGGCATTTGGCATGCGGCTGGTGAATTCATTCACCTGCTCGAGATCGTAAAACTGATATCTTTCTCATTCTATATCACCATATTGGAGACGATCTCCTCTGGCGCGAGTCCTCCATCGCCACCACTCAACTGGGGCTGTACTGATACTATCGCCTCCAGCAATTTCTTGGCTTGGTTGATTTGAGCTGTTATCAGCGCATTGGAGTGCAGACCGAAGACCTCGACGAGAACGACGAATTCGACTCGAGTACAATTCTCTACCGAGACTACTATT